CAATGAGGTGAACAATGTTTACCGGTCGGTCGATGCTTTGTCACCCGAACAAAATGAAGTCGTACTGAATCTTTACAAGTAATATCAATTGCGCGATATGTTTGGTTTTATTCTAATCGTTCAGAGATTGACTAAATTGTATCAATTTTCACAGCGAATGGCTTGAAGGACAAGATTCATCAAAGTGCAAAGAAAAACTTCGTACTCAATATCACGCCGTGGAGGCATCTCTTGTCAATCCATTGAGCGTTAAATGGTGAATTAGTATAATTTGCGAAAACACGATGCTTGGGTAGAATGGAATATTCTTGGTTGTAAAAATAAAAATAATAGTAATAATAATAATAATAATAATAATTCCATATTATGATTATTTATGATTTACGCGTAATAGCATTCCTCAGTATACGTGTTGGGGGCATCAATTGATCATGGATCCGCATGCCCCATGAAAAGTCTGATAATTTATGAGATTAAAGAAACTTTGGCGTAATCCGTCAGAAAAGCACATACATACATCTGCCGGACAGTCGTGTCCGACAATTGAATTAGCATCATTCTAGTTGGCATACAATCAGAAATGAGAATTTGGCTTATTGTTTGACTTATTATTTTAACTTATGCATTATCTTCATTATCTCTATTATCTCTCTACAATTTCTAAAATCGCTGCTATTATTGATTAATTGTTAAGGACGACATTGTTCAATCTGAAAAAAAAATGATAGCGAAGATACGACAGTCATTTTTATCTGAACGATATTGTACCAGTTTTTCTTTTTTTAAAAAAAAAAAAAATCGACAGCATTGACCCGTGCCGTCAAATTATTACTCCTTAAAGGCGTGACCATTGTACACCCTAATTTTGTATGACCTTTCATCTTTCCTAAAATCATGACTTTGTTGGTGTCACATCTTTATATTCAATGATTAATGAATTGACGACTTAAATTTATTACCGATAGTGGAAAACTGAAAGAGAATAAGAAATAAATTGTTTGTTTGATGAGTTACATGTTCGAAAACCACGCGCGTTCAAATTTTCTTTGTCCTTTTAACGATTGCAAGCTGCGTATGTAATCGCATATAAACGAGGCATGTGATGCAATGTCAAATCTTTATTATGCATCGCGCTTGCAGCGTTTCTTCATTGGAAACAATTTTCCGTGTCGAATTTGCTTGAAGATGCCTTAGGTATATGACCATTGCCCTGTAAAAATAGAATGTGTGTACATACGGACCGTGAATGTATTTTAACATGTCCGATTTACGATTCCTTTATGTGAACATCGTTACACTCGTAAATTACACGACAAGATGATTTTAGTAGTTCATTTGTCTCGCAACAGACAGAGTTAGATATTTTACACTTTACGTGTAGCGTTCCTAGGGTCATTTTTTTGGATCATTAGTCTCGAGGGATTTAGGTAATCACTGGATTAGGAAGGCGAATGATCTAATCCCTGAGAACATTTGAAAAATTCTTTGTTTGCCATTTGACCCTCAAGAAGAAATTAATTATAATATCTCTTTTTTCCACAACTGATAACGTAACCATTTGTTTGTACAATCATATGATCAAGAGTAAATTCATTTTTTTTTTTTTTTTTTTTTTTTCAATTCTTTCGATAAAGATACAAATTGACTAATGAGGAAAAATTTCGGGAAACTTGCATGCATACGTTTATAAAAAGAGAAAACTCTATAACAAAAAAGCTTATCCTGTGTAATCTTTGAATGAGAAGTCCGCCAAGGGTTGGGATAGGCGTTTGAAAACTTAATTTGTTAATTCATCAAAGAACGATTTTTACCATATATCTCTCTGTTTTAGTCACGGTATACGTTGAGTAACCATTGCACAACTCAGCTGCGCCCTCCGATACCGATACGAGTAAAAATGCAGATATCCTCCGACCTATCACGCATCATTATCGTCATCCCAATAAATACAAAAAAAAAAAACCTACATAACAATGGTATCCAATCACTCACCTATCACGCGCTGTTACACTAACTAAACTATCATTTTAGTTTGTGTTTTGTGTCTTTATTTCTTTCGGAAGTGTGTAGCACAGTCCCGGATTCTCCCATATCAACCATTATAACCTGAGCTATTCCAACAGTGGTGATACACTTAAATATAACACTTTTTTTTAATCTGACCAAATCTGGGAACAAAAATATTTGGATACAATTACAGATTACTAATGACTATTACATTATCCTTTATTGTTATGTTATCGAAGATTCAGCAGGCCTTGAAAGTTATGATCCAAATTATTAAGTATAACAATCGCCGGGGTAATCATTAATATCGATAACCATTAATGATGGCAACGATAACAGATATCACAGATAAGTCGGTATTATCCTTATGTTCGCTTCGATAAAAAAAATTTTTGAAAATTTACAGAATGTGTGAACTAGGCCTCCAATCAAAAATGCATTTTATCAATGATGAATCATAAGTGATCGCATCAATTACACGATTCCATTTTTCTAGAAATTTTACGCATATTCAATTGAAGAAATATGAAGCATAATATAATGATATTATTATATATATTGTTATATAATTTATTGCTTATTTTTACTATAGGAATAATTATTTTAATTAATATCAAAAAAATTTTTTTTTTTTTTTTTTTTGCATTTTACTGTAATAACCGACAATAGTCTTTTATATGGTATTATATAAATGTTATATTTTAATTTATGTTGTCACTTTAAAAGCCACGCCAAATGAAAATTGTACCACCGTGACTATCTTCTTGATCATACTTTTTTGGGTAGATTCAGAGGAAACGACAATTATAAAATCTCACTCGTTTCTTTTTTTTTTTAAAGCAAGAAATGTTCCCACTACGCCTACGTCACACACATCCTATGCCGTCTTACTTCTACTAATTTCATCTAATACGCTGTTGCATTATTCTTTCTTTTGTCAGGGTAAGGGCGCATTGGTCTATTTATTTCAATAAATTTCAATAAATATCTTTGCGACCTTTTGACTTTTGACAAGATCACTTTGTGATAGACGAAGCATTTGATCAGCTTTAAACAAAACCAAAATATATTTATGGCATCCGATGGTTCCCCCGTTGGTCAACTAAGTACTGGACCCATCCATCACATAAGGTACCGTACAGGAAGGTTCACCGCGGAAGAAGACCAATTGCTTGTAGATTTATATAATCAACATGTGGAGAGTCACAAGCATAACATCTTCGCCGTGATAGAGCCGTTGATGCTCAGAAATTCAAAGTCTTTGAGAGAAAGGTTCTGTAATCACCTGGCTCCCGATATCGACCATTCCGAGTTAAATGATGAAGAAAAATCGTTCATTGACGAAGAACAGGAAAAATGTAAGGCCCCCTCGACGCCTTTTTCGGAAATCGCGAGGAGTCTAAGCGAAAGGAACAAAAAATTGTATAAGGGAACTAGGAGTAACTATCGTCGCACTGATTTGGTGGTTAGAAACTATCTCGCACCAAGGATTCGTAAAAGGAGAGAAAGCGCCGAAAGGATCCGTAGAATTATGCACATTGAAAGCCTACTAGACGAAAATCGGCCCAAGCAGGTTTAATTTTGCGTTAGTGGATATTTGTATATATAGTCATGTAAATAATAAATAGAATGATTTATCTTTTCTATTGATATGCATAATATAATTAAACATTTATTTATTTCTCTGTATTTTTATATATCTATCTTTTCTACATATATGTATCCCATTCATTATATTCTTTTTCTATCATAATATTTACGTCTCAGGAATCACAGAACGAAATTCTTGAGATACTTGTCTTCTCTAAAGATCAAGTAATGTCATTTCCACATGTATTGTCCTTTCAAGACCTCCTTACAGTTGAATTTATGTAATTGGTCTTTCAATCATAATAGAGGCGCTCGTCCCTCCACTCGTTTATTACTTGTCATACGACTCTCACGGTTACCTTTTTTTTCTTTGATCACTTTATTTTCTATTGTTAGGAAGTTCCCGCTTTCAAAGTTTTTTTTTCAGGTCGTTAAATAAAAGCTCTGGTCAATGAATGAAATTCCAATTTTATGAAACTGAGTGATTTCTATTTTTATCTAATGCAATGTGATGTTAATTGCGCATCCCTGACTTTCACCTCATGACATAATTACAGATAATCAAAACTTGTAATTAAACGGAATCATAGAAGTAAACAAATAAATCAGATCACAGTAATTTTCCAATCAAAAAAAAAAACTGTATCAGTTTCGATAATAGCAAATCAACAAACATCCTCGCAAGGGAACGAACTAACCAATACAAAAAGCTCAAGATTATACAATATATGCATTATCATCGATCCTGATTGTATCGTTTACTGATAATTTTTTTTTTTGGAAATTAAATAAAAGTGGAATAAAAAATGGTTCACTTCAAAATAGTAATCGGTATGGTTTCATAATAACAGATTTCAAGTATCTTCTGTATGCGATCATTGAATTTTTTTTGAAATAATTATACACAAACCGGTTAATTACAGTACATAACAAAATATACTGTAATACTACAAGTTTGTATTTAATTAGAAAAAAAGAAAAAGGGAATTTCGAATCAAATCTTTACCATACCTCATTTAATGGAGAAGCCTTCTGTATCACTTATGGTTGTTCGATAGAGGTAACAGTACATGCTTCATAGAAGTTTCTTATCTAATCTAAAAGATCATCGTTTGGAATTTAAGATTTTTCTTTTTTTTAAAAAAAATATATATATTGTTTACGAAGAAAAAACAAATAAATTTATACACCGTATATTGTATTTTTTTTAAAAAAAATATATATATTGTTTACGAAGAAAAAACAAATAAATTTATACACCGTATATTGCATTTTTTTTAAAAAAATATATTGTTTACGAAGAAAAACTATGTATTTTATTTTTTTAAAAAAAATCAATTATATCCATTAAACAATTAATAACTTGATTATCTAAATTTCGAAAATAATATACAGTATATACAGTATATATTTTTTAATAATCAATCAAGTGTATAATGTTTATTAAATCTTTCGTAATAAAAAAACAAATAATACAGTATAATTTACAGTTAAAATTATATCATTTGGCTGCTGAATTATTGATAAATTGATTTAAAATTATTAGTATAAAATATAATGTATATGTTAAAGTTTTGTTGATTTAATTTGATTTATATTCATTTAACATTTAAATATTTGTAAAAAATTTAGCAACAATCACATAATATTAATAAATTTTTGTTTATTTGTATAAAAATTTGATATAATAATAGATAATAAATAATTTCTTGTCTTGATAATTTGATATAACAATTTAATAAAATTAAAAAATAAAACAAGACTTCCAAACTTGTGTAAACTTTAATTAAAGATCTCATTATTAATCAAAATAGTGTTATTCAACATGTTGCCACTTGTCAAATATTTAGATATAAAATATTTGATACATATATACAAAATAATAAAAATATTTAACAATTTTATACTTGTTAATTAATTATAATAATTGAAAAAATAATACAAAAATTAATATTTGAAATATTTTTAAAAAAAATATAATTAGATACAAATTTATATTATCCCTTAAACTGTATTGTAGGCAAATTTGCCTACAATTTTATATTATCCCTTAAACTGTATTGTAGGCAAATTTGCCTACAATTTTATTTATCAACAAAATCATTTTATATCTTCTAATACATGTTACTCTTTAATAATGCATTCTTTTATTATATATTTTAACTTATTTAAATCTCCAGGACAAGATTAATCTTTTTTTTTAATGGTCAAAGTGCAAATAACATAATAATATTCTTCTTAAAAATACATTACAAAAATAAGTATCAAAATTTATCAAAAATTGGTCTACAGATTAAGGGATATGGAATTTTAGTTATATTTTAGTTAAATTTTTAATATTTTTAAATATTATACTTGTGATTTAATAAAATCATGATTAAATATTTATAAGAATTAATGCTAATTTGAAAATTTATATTTAAATAGAATAAATTAATCAAAAATATTATAAATAGGAATAATATATTTATATTTAATTGAGTAAAATTTAATATTCTATAATTTAATATTTGTTTTATTTTTTGAGCCAAAAAAATCTCATATTTGCCAAATTAATTAGTTTAAATCATTAAATAAAAGTCAATTATAACATAAAACATTATTAAAAAAATTAATTTAATATATAAAAAAAAATTAAACTTGTTCTAAATATAAATCAATACTTTTATTACAATTTACAAATTAGACTAAGACATAAATTTTTATATTTTATAAAAATATAAGAAAATCAAAAATTTACTTTCTATTTAGAATTTTTTATATTGGTTTGCTCTATTTTAAAAACTATCAAATCATTAATATTATTTATAAATAGTCTTTGAAATTTATTATTTTATATAAAGCCTTATAATATTTAATTAATAGATTCAATATTTTAATAAATAATATTAAATTTGAATTCTTTAAATATAATAATTTACCAAAAAATTTTTTGATTCATTAATAATTATTTTATAAATATTATATGTATTATTTAAAAATCAATATAATTCATTAGTCAAAAACTAATCCAGTTTAGAAATTGAATCAATATTTAATTTATTATATAGAAATTCAAACTTTATTTTATTAGAATAGATTAATATCAAATATAAAATTTAATAATCATTTATTAATATTTATATTAATTCTGATTTGATTTTTATATAATTATTTAACAAAGAATTTATATTAAAATTAATTAAAAAATACTATAAGTAATAAAACTAATATATAATAAAAACTTATTGAATATATCATTTATCTTTTTAAATAAAAAACATCAAAAATATATAATAATCTATAATTATATATTATTAACATAAAAAATTATATATTTTACTATAGATATTTATAAATTTTCATATATTGAAAAATAAGCTTTGTCATAATATATTATTACTAATATATTAGCTTATGCATCAATTAACTGTATAACGTATTACAAGTTAAAATAAATATGTTAGCATTATTATAAATAGTAATATATTACTAACAATAGAATAAGAAAAATATAATAATAAAATAATATAATAATAATATACAATAGATAAAAATAAAAAAAACATAATAAATAAAGAAAATCTATAATAAATAGTAAAGACAGTTAGCAGTTGTAACAAGCCATAAATAAAAAATACTAATATATCTATTTTCAAATAAAATCTTACATCCAAAAGAATAATTAGGGAGGTGCCAGAAATCACGTGTTTCTTTAGGGAGGGGGGGGGACCAAAGTATCACGTTCTATTTTTTATTAAT